ATATTTTGAAATGTTTGGCTAGATATCTCCTCACAGTGTCACAAGTTTGTCTGTGGCTTTGGGAATAGATAGCACCAGAAGTGTCCAGAAATATCTCAGGATCTCCTACTCATCTTCCAGATTTTTATGTTAAAACAAAAGTGCTTCCACAAACCAGACATAAATTCAAATGTTTGATCTTTCACAGAGGAGGAGTAGCTTTTATATTGCTGTCCCTTAAATTTAGTTCATTGATAGCTCTACCTCCCAATCAACCTCAGAGAAGTGCATGTGTCAGTCTGCCATATCTCAGAAGTGTCATGTTTCTGGAGTCCTTATCTGATCTGGTCGAGTGACTTCACAGGCACTTTACACATCTGTACAGATGAGATGATAGTTGTGATACCCTGGGGATGTGTTTTGCACCACAACTATGAAAGTTTCTGGCTAACTAGCACTTGCTGCTCCCTGCCATTCTGCTTTTGATAACCTGTCCTCACATCTCAACACAAAAATCATTTGGGATCATTTGGGATTGCCTGGCTCTGCTGCCCTAAACCACATTAGGAGCATGAACTGACCACACATCCACTCCTGCCAGTGCCACGTTGTTCCCTTCTCATCCATCCACTTATCCAAGACCAAGGTTTCCTCAGAATTTCCATCTAACACAGTGTTCAGTATAGCAGAGCTGGTGGTGAAATAGCAGGACCTAAAGCAGAAACAGCCCTCATTGACATAGCAAAGCCCCGGCTACCTCCTGCAGTGTGTTCACTCACCGGGGATAAGCCCATCTCACAGACCACACTCCCAAACCAACACCACAGCTCCCTGGGTCTCCTCCCTCAGAGGCTGCCACGCATCTCCATTTAGAGGCTTTTCCACTGCACAGTGTCACTCTCAAAACGATTTATTGGAGAGCATACGGAATGGGCTTTTTGGAGGAGACTTTGTTGTTTCTTTTTTTTCCTGATCACCATATCAAAACAGCACCGGCTGCTGACAAGCAGCAGCGGGGTATGCTGCAGGGACTACTGTTTTACCAGATCCATTTCAGAGCTCTCCAGTTTTAATAAAACTGCTGTTCAGTTGTTTTAATCAAGCCCATTCCTATCACTCTGATTGAAATAAGCTGCTGATGTTGTTATCCGTACGACCACCTGGGAGGCATAACAAAACATATGACAACACTTATACATCAATAACATCTCAAAAACACATTTTAGTTTATCATCGAAAGCAATGGCTTTTTTTTTTTTCCTTGTGTTTCTCAAGATTTTAGTATCTTTGTATGATAAATACAGAGTTCAGCACTGTGACTTAAGGAACATCCTCAACTGCCATCCCGGTCAATGAGGTCTGATGGTTCAAGCCCTGATTTGCATTCTTGTAAAATGTGAATTTGATGAAATCAGTGGATTACACTCTCTATTTTGTAGCCACTGGGACAAAGTTCCCTATTTGCCATACTGGAGAATTCAGTGTAGGAACCAGCAGGCCCAAAAGTATCCAGCTCCCTTATCTCACCCACCAAAGGCTCCTGTGGTCTTACTACCAATGTCCTATATAGAACCCCATCTTCAGCTCAGATGAACCAAAGGTGGCAGAGAACACCATAACCCAACCAACAGGCCAGGTCTATCATCACACCATTAAGGCAGTTTAATCTTGGCAACAACAAATGCTTTAAGCATGAAGGTTCACAATCCCAATAAATTGCAAAACATATTAAAAGGAGAACAGAGCACTTTGGGCTCTAGAAAAATGCCCAAATCTAGGGATGAATCTCTAGGAAAGTCCTCCTTAGGTTGAGTGTACACACCTACAGTTGGCCTCACCACCCCATGGCTTTGGAGGCTTACGTGTTTTACTCAGTAAACTTTTCTTATGTATTCACATTTATGTATTTTCTTATGTTTTGTTAAGTATTCACAACTTTATTGCTTCCTGGAAGATGCGCAGCAATGCACTATGCAAAGAAATGAAGCTTTTAGTGCTCAGAAAGTCCCGGAAAATTCAGACCTCTGTGGGAAAACTACTCATAACAATGACAGCTGCCACAAACCTGAGCCACACTCTCTGTTGCACCACTTATTGAGTTCCTGATACCACTTTCTATCTATCTCCACGGAACAGTTCTGTGCAATCTAAAAAAGTGTCTCATGCCCTGGGATGAAAAGCCTTGGTGAGCTTGGTTACTCTGGGACAGTGGAGTTGTCTGCAACTTGAGTAGGGCTCATCTTCTGAAACTGTAGTGAACTCCCCTGGACAATAAAAAACATGCCAGCTTGTCAATATCTGATTTCCATAGGAAAAGATTCAGGCAACATGATGTTCTTTACTTCTCAGCTGTTTGATCCTTTTTGCAGCATTTGATCTTCACAGTTCATTGGTTTTGATGTGGCCACTACTCTTGTGAAGTCTGGCTGCCTTGCAATTGTAATGAAATTATTTTCTCAGTATGCCTTTTGCTTTGGAAGTCCTTCATTTGCATCTAATAAATCACTTTTATAGAATGAGTACTGAGTTGTTAATGTCTCAGCACCCCAGTTAAAAGACAGAGTAGTTATAGAATATACTTGGAACAATACCAGGCATGCATGAATAAAAACACACCAACGTACAAGTAAATATATGAATTCTAGAACCTAATGAAAAGAATATTAGTATATATTTCAATTACTACCTCTAAACACAAAACCTTCTACAAGGAGGTGATGACACACAATAAACTGCAGAGCCATGCAGTGAAAGGTATTTACTGTGCATATGCTGACATATAACTAGTTATGTGCTCTTTAGACATCTCTCTGGAGACGTCTAAATGTATACAAGTAAAATGAGGCCAGAAAAATTTAGTCTGGAAGTTTTCTTTTTGGTGGAAAGAACTATTCACTCACGGAAGGGTTGCTTTCACATGATATCAACAGTTTGATGTTGGGTGTTATATTAAGATTCTCAGGAGAAGTCTAGTGGTAACAAAGTAAAAAAGGTGATCAAAGGTAAACAGCAAGCAGATTATGACATAGTTCTGCAGTTACTCACCACGGTCTCACCTCTACACGTATACAGTTCTTTTTTATTTAGCTGTATACTTAGCTTTCAAGCAGTAGACAAATGAGTAAATAACATCTTTAACACGTTTATGTGTAATGCACGTCACAGCTAGATTTATCCCTAACTCAAAATCCCCATCTTTCAGCTCCACAGTCATTAACCTGACACTGACTTTGACATTTACATGTTTACATTGTTATTATAACCTTTGGAATGTATACCTAACTCATGCAACTAGATCCTGCTTGAATAAAAAACATTTGCATCCTGAACCTCTTCCTTGTTAAAGTGGCTAAACAGATTGAGAGGAGAACTGCTATTCAGTGTTGTTCATTATTAGCATGTATTTTTCACTCAAACATTTTGGTTTTCCATCCTGCACACCATGATGGTTCAATTGTCCCTGCCAAGGGTGCCTAGAGGGGGAAATCTGTGCTTATTAAACCTCCTCTGTCTTCAAGAAGATATCTGTCTTTGTGCCACATTTGGTCTTCTCATATGCCAAGTGCCTAGACTGAAGATTCTGAGTATACAGACTGTAGATGCACACACTTAAAATGCAACGAAATAGACAGACAGATAGATACGCGCATACATAAATACAGACTTAGAAAGAATGAACCATCCTTCTCTTGCTCTGAGCCCAAAACTGCAGCTACTCTGGTTGTTTTCATAATGCTCCCTCAACTAGTTAGAGGAGCTGAGTGTTGAGCAGCACTGATAGGGATCACATTCCAGCTAAGAGCCCAACAAGAATTGCAGCATTGCTGTGGTTCAGTGAGACTGGGTGGTTTTTGGCAGGTCAGGCTCTGTACTTCCACTCGCCTTTGAAATGCTCTCAGCTCCACAGCTGTAGTGGCATATGGTTAACAAAATATAGTGTGATGGTATTTCCCACAAAATACGTAATTTATCCAGAGAGAGTTTTATATATACATAGTTATTAAAAACAAGCTTTTTTTATTATATTTTTTTCTTCAACTTAAAGTGTTCCTAAGGTTTTCCTGCTGTTTATTGAACTTGATACTACACGTGATTCAGGATTTTTGATTTCCCTCATGTCAACAGAGATGGGGAGTAAGTACTATGCACTGAAAGGTCCTTTTTTAACCATCCGCAAGAATATTTTACCTTGTTCCTCTGTGCACTGAACTCACAAAGCTTTGATCCTCAAAGTAAAGGTCCTGGAGTTTGCCTTGTACAAAAGCTGAGGACTAGACAGTCTTCCCAGCAGGGATTTTTTTATAACTGAGGTTCCAGAAGACACCCCAAATGTCCCCACACCTGACAGTGATTTATACAGATAGCATGTGATAGTCACAGAGCTCTTTGGGGACAACTGCAGACAGTTTCTTGCCTATGCAACATGGCCTTTCATGACCCTTCATATATATATGTCAGTCTAAAGGACCCTTCTACAAATTAATAAGCACCAAAAGCACAACGGCACATCAGCACTTCTTAAACCATCTCAGAATAGTAAATAAAGGGAATACTCTGCTCTTGTCTTGATAGAACATTTCTCCCCTACTAGGCACTGGAAGGATTTCAAATTAAATTACATTTTTAATAAAATATATATTCTATTATAAAGAAAGCCTTGGGTCAGATTTTCCAGTGTGCTCTGCTTGCATCAACACTAGCATGCTGGGGCATTCCCCACTGCCCACCCAAGTCCCACTCTCCCACGCTGCCATATAGTGACACGTGGCCTTGGTGGGGGAATGAAAATAGGAGAGGCCAGGACACAAATCACCCTCCAGCATACCCCATGGATGCCTGGGACCTTGAAGGGGGAAAACAGCACAGCACTTGGGCATCCCCAGCATCTTATGTGCCGTGGGGAGCAGTACCGAACAGCCAAAGCGAACTGTAAACCTGTTTGTTCATACAGCCTGTGCCCGCACTTGTGGTTCATATGGAGAGCACGAGATCTCTGTAGTCATTCCCTCTGGTGTTGGTACCTGGTGCCTGTGTCACTGCCACTCTTCACTGCTCCGTCATCCGTGAAATTAAAGGTGCCGGTCCAATTTGCCAACTCCTCTCCATTCTGCCAGCTAAACTGCAGCCCTCTAGCAAGAAAACGAGGCAGTTGATATTTGATAACATTCATTAGTTCACTATCAGCACGAGTTCTCGTGTCCTTTTTCTTAACACAGAAAGGTGACTATGACACAAACAGCAACAAAAACAACAGAAAGATACCAAGAACCACAGTTCATTATCTTACTCATACAAACAATTAATTTTCACTTCCCATAGACTCTACAAGTCCTTGTCTGAACACAGCAGCAGTCACCCCAACCAGACTGGAAGGCCAGTAACCATCTGTGCTCAAGACCACACAGATGCATGAAGCAAGTCACAAGTACAAAGAGTTGGAGACTGATGTGATAAAACTCCAGGGCCTAAGAAGTAAACATTCCAAATTTGCAGTTTACATCTCCCGTAGTTGTTAAATGTGGTGAGCACTGGATCTTCCCTCTGAGTTGTTGGCCATGCTGGCAAAGGATTTATTATTTATCATATTTGATGACTTCACTAAATCATTCCATATTGCTGCTTCTCCCTACTTGGGAAGACGATATTTTTTAAGCAAATGCAAATCACAACCAACACAAGTCCCTGTCTTCGAAACTTTCACAAACCCATTGCAAGTCTCATGGTGACTGCCTGCAGTCTTCTGGAAACTCCACCTATAGTTGGGTAGAAATTTCACATGTATCTGAAAAAGCTGGGTCTGAAGAAACACTTGACAATACAAGCCAAATCCCTCCTATATCTCAGAAGTCAACGAAAAAGAATCTCGCTGATTGTTATTTTTAAGCTTCTCCGTTTTAACCCAATTTCATGATTTCAGAAGCCTGGCAGCTGAGTTGTGAACATTTGGTGCTGCCAATACTGAAAGTTAACTTCCTGGCTGGGCTGTGTGGGAACAGCCAGGAAGCAATCTGCCCGCCTGCTCTGCCCAAAAGAAAGGGCATCCAGGACCCCGCTAGGTTTCTTGGTCAGCAAGCTGATTACAAGGACTGGAGCATCTCTCAGACCACCTCCATCCCCTAGTCCAACTGGCAGCAGCTATCAGCACAGGCAGTTAAGAAGGACAGACATGGGGCATTAAAAAAAGGCTTCTGCTTCCCGCAGCAGAAAAGTGGAGTAGCTCTACAGGGCTCACAAAGCGTGTAGAAGGTATTTCTTTGTTCTGTACTGTGGAAACGTGCACAAAACTTCCTTGTTGTCATAGCTCTTTCAAGACAAGATTATCCAAGTGTCTTCAGTGCAGGCATTTCCACATGAGCCAACTGTCTTGGTCATTAAAAATCAATAGAGATTGGCTCAGTAGAGTTAGTTTGGGGAAAAATTCACCTGATCAAAGGCTGTCCTTCCCCTAGGGGGAACTGATCCCTGCTGCAAAGCCTCCCTCCGTCAGCAGCACAGGGAGCTCAGGGTTGCTTGTAGTGTGGGCACACATGACAGAAGCATCCCACCCAAACTGTGCAATGCATGTCACCACAAATGCCTTTTTTTGACCTATAAATAACAAATTCTGAAATGATCTATGATGGTTATTCTTGTATGCTTTGTGCCTTTTAATCTCTTTTGTTTTGTTTTGTTTTGTTTTACATTGAAAACTCACTTTCTGGTAAAGGCATTTTTTTGTGAGAGGGAATTCTGAGTGGTTTAAATACCGTGAACTGAAGAAAGAGCTGGCATCCTGATCTGCCCACTCAGCTTGGAAAATGACATCAAAGGGTGTGTGGTTTATACTGAAATGCCTGTAAGCTGGAGCAGTGCTGTGGCTTACCAGGGAGTTGCGTACCTTCGACACTGCTCTGACAGCTTTTAATCAGCTGAGGTTGCCCGAGGTGATGACTTCTAAGTAGAAGATGGGTGTGAAGAAAATATGAGAAAATTCTCACTTTGACTAAGACACCTTCTCTTTCAGGCTTGTTGAAATAAACACCCGTGATTCTCTCCCATGCATCATAGTCTAACACTTTTTTTGCTGCACTTTATAACTCCGGTAGAATAGTGTAAATGTCCTTGTAAAAGACATCTAACTGTATGGCCTTAAAAATATGTTTTAACTGCTAAGGGCGGCAGTGAATGATGCACGGGGAGAGGGGGTAGAAGTGTGGGAAAAAACAAGTTGGAATTGAAACTTTTAATTGGATTTAAATTGGCTATTTTGAACTTGGATACTAACTTGCAAATTGAAATAGCATCAGTCTTGATAAGTAGCCAGTATCAATGTTACACTCAAAGGTTAACCCTCCTAAAGTATAGCCAAAATTCAGATAGATAAAATGAAGAATTAAAACAATTGGTAAAGCCTTTTCCCTTTGGATATCTTCACTCTGCACGTTAACAGCTGGAAGAAAAGAGAAGTAAATGCTTGAAGGTAGCCTGGGGATCTGACCCTAAAGCACAGGAAATGATAAAACCACCTTCTAATGCTCCCATCTCATCGGGCCTTTTTGGGAACACTGCGTACTGTTGCTGAGGCACCAAGTTTGCAGGAGGACACACAAATGTTGGGTAAGATCCAAGAGGAGATCAGGAAGACTAATGGTGAGGAATGGTAGGTATGTCTCATGAGGAACAGCTTAAAATACTCAGCTTTGAAATGGTAGACCGGGGGACCTGAGGTACAAAAATACCTGATGAGGGCAAGCAGGGGGCCGGGTATGATGCTTCTTCCTCTACATGGTCAGGAGAAAACACAAAGTGGTGAGCTGAGCTTAGGGTTAGGAGCAAGCCAAGTGTCTGGTCTTGAGAGAGACAGGAAAAAGGGACTATCCAGTGCTCTTCTTCCAATGAGCAGGTGCTACAGAGTTTAGCACCATGCAGACTTAAATATACACAAAACATACCACAGCTCGTAGGACTGTGTCTCACTGCAAGTCCACAAGACTGACACAATTACACAAAATAATGTACAGTATTTTCTGGACTGAATATTCAATAGACCCATTCCTCCTAGTAAGAAAAACTCCCACAAATAATGGTTTGTAGTATTAAGACGGAGTAAAAAAAAATCAAAGATGAGACATTTGCAAACACTGACATGAATTAATTCTGTTCCTAACAGGATTACTCTAAGTTTCACTGTTGATTTCAGTCACTCAGCCCTGAGTCAGGAGATTTTAGTTTTAAGAACGTAAAATTGTCTAATCCTAACAATTGTGAATTTTAAATGTTCATAAATACTATCTGTCCAAATCTGCAAACAAACTGAGAAAATGAATCACAGTCATGAACTGCTCCATCAGCAGGTTTCTTTGGCATATTGTGGTAGTTAAATACCAGCACATTCACTCTCAGCACTAACTACACTTTAACAGGTAGATAACGAGGTAAATTAAGCTTCTGTGAATCAGAATTGCAATGGGGATGCATATACAGGATGGGAACAAAAAAGGCAGATAAAAAGAAGCACTACAAAAAAGAATGTTAAGAGATTAAAAGAAGGGAAGGAAAGCCAAGGAAATGACGTAGATGTGGAGGTCTTCTATGTAGGTTGGACAGTTCATGCCACAGAGGTAAAATAAATAAATAAATAAAGCAACATCAAAGCCTTGGATCATTACCAACAATTACCAATGGTGGAACTTTGCCATTTGCTCAGTTTGCCCTACTGTGATTTCCATTTTCTATTTCTAACCCTTCTAAAATTAGCATGTTTCCCCAACATCTGATGGTGGTGATGACAAGGGAAGTCTTTATAAAAGACGTAATAACCAGAAACGCTATCAGTGTTCTGTGCATTCACTGTAAGCAAATTTCTCATGAAGGAAGTTTTGCTGTGGGCAAACCAAGTGCTAGTCTACAGACATCATGAGCTCATGAACAGCATTAATCATGGCACTTACCCCTAACATACAGAAGAACAAGCAACCTGGCACCTTGTGTTCAACAACACCATGAGTTGGATGTCTTAGCAAGAAAGACCTTGAATTTCAGGTAAATGTCAAAGCAATATTTTGATCCTAATTGGTAGCTGTAAATGCAGAAGCAGTATGTGGTCAGATAAACACTGCCATAAGGCAAGAATAGAGGGAGGGGGCAAAAAAGAGCAAGAAAATTAACGAAGCAGCAGTAATTCTGAAGGGCTTGTCAAGACCGGCTGTCGAAGCAGCAGGAAGCAAAGCAAAAAGCTCATTGCCATAATCCAAACAAGAAACAACCCCTGCACAAGCAGAGGTTTTAATAGCAGAGCACATCAATTATGCGGGTTTTGAACAATTACGAGGTTTTTGAGCTCGTAGGCAAGAACGAACAAGAGTGGATGGATTGCAGCAAGGAGCTTTGTGTCTGCGCTGCTTTCTCCTCGAGATCCTACCTCAGGGGGGTCTTGCTGCCTTTCTGAAGCATGAAGGCAAGGTGAAAATTCAGCTCAGACAAGAAGGCTTTTTAAAGGGAGCTATTCCACAGCAAAAGACTTTATGCATTGCTGGGCCTGTTAGAGCCTGTCTAGGGCATCACGTGAGCAGTGCAAGGAGAGGGCACGGAGCAGCACCTTGCACTCTGGAGCCAATTCACTCACCAAACCACCAGCTCATCTCATTTTATCCCAGCCAGCTGGCAATTTCCACTCATTTTCCAAGGTGACAGCTACCACTACCCTCATCCTGCATCTACCAGAGGCAGACTAAACCCAGAGGCAAGCAAAAATGGACAGAAACCAATGTCATTTTATACCTGTGAAGCAATGCCAAGATCTGACTCAGCTTGCTGGTCTACCACAGATGGGCAGGCAAGGGGAAGCAGAGGGTGCCTTCTCCGAAGGAGTGAAAGAAAGGCATGAATGTCCTCACGAGCAAGGCACATAACTGCATTTTAATTTGGAACTCCCTCTCTTACTTGTCTTTACTTTCCCTGTTCTTTATTTCTAGCACTTCTCACATTCCTTCCCTGCCTGCACTTTCCTTACCAAAGACAGTATTGGGACGTGACAGGAAGCCCAGCTTTTTGCCTTGGCTCTTTCAGTTATAAGTTAATAATATATATGTTAATTCCATACAACAGTTATAATTTAATTCCATTAAATAATTTTGATTCCATTAAATTT